TTCAAACAGAGATAAACACTAGATAATAATTAGAGCAACTGTCGCCCTCTGTAAAGGAAGCAGTTTGAGGAAAAGAAGGGATCCAAGTCGGAATTATGATGTAAGATTCGTCTAGAAAGCAAACAATAGATGCTCAAGTCGCTTGATAGGAACAGAGAAACTGAACTCAATTGACCGCTCTGTGCGCCGCTACAAAAATTGATAACACACTGATAGACATAAATCTATTTAATTTTTTTGCAATTTCTTTATCGTAGTAAACAACGGTTCTCGAAAAATTTCTAAACCTTATGGACAGTAAAAGGATAAAATATTTATCTTGTGTTATAACAGGTAACTCCGTCAGAGATACCACAGTGCTGCTTGACAATTCTACAAGATAGTTACAGATGACTGTGTCTTAGAACGGGCACGGATGGCTCTGCTAACTGAATTAGGTCAGATCACTTTTCTTGATAATGAAAAAGAGAAGAGTCAAACTTTAAGGAAACTTTGCTTTTTTTTTGCCGATTGGCTGTACTGAAGTTCGGAGACTGGGATGGGAAGGGTGGCTGGTTCGCGGATATATGATTATCGCTTCGTCAACTTTCACTAAAAGAAAATTTTATATCAATTAACGAGGTCTGCACTCGACTAATTGAACCGTAGTACATGACCTTAATCTACAGTTTTCTACATCAATAGGTCAGTGACGAGAAATATCGCCTCACCATGCATGTGGATGAAAGTAAGGGCATTACAACGCTCCTCCTCCCTTTTGAGTTAAGAAAGTGACTTGGTGCTCTGTCTTCTTCTTCCACGTTTTTATTTCATGACTTAAAAGGCAAGATCGGCAGTATTTGAGTCCCTACCTTCTGAAGGGAAGTACGTAGTGTGCCGTAAAGTGACGGCGGCACTGGACTCTGTCGTCGTGCTTTCTTCTGAAAAAGTGAGATTTGATTTAAAAAAAGATTAAGCCTTAAAAATGATTTTGTTTAAAAGAAAATTTTCTATCAATTAACGAGGTCTGCACTCGAATTATTGGACTGTAGTACATGAGCTTATTAATCTGCAATTTCTACATCAATAAGCGATGAGAAATATTGCCTCTCCATGTGGATGAAAAGCAAGGGCATCACATCGCATCTTGATTTTTATCGTTTATTGGCTTTGCCGACGAGCCACTCCCGCCGATTTTTTTTTTTTACCAAAAATATAATTTTTTTATCCGTTACTTTTGTAATACAATTTGTTGTACCTGGTAGAAGAGTTGTTGCGCTGGTGTTTGCAAACTGTCCGTAGCCAGCTTCGTTTCTTGCCTGTATGAATACAATGTACGTCCTGTTTCCTCCTAAGTTTTTAATAAGTAGTGATGTACTTCTTATTCCGGTATATTCATTTTCTTGTCTGTGTGTGATACTATCTATAACCTTTATTCTGTAATCCAGTATTTCAATTTTGCTGTCCTCAATTGATGAGTGCCAAGTTATGTTTAACGCAAGAACTTCGGATATCGCTTTTATATCGGGTGGGTTTGGTGGGTCTGCAAAAGAAATATCGGTTTGTTATCAGCAGTTCAGATAGGTGTTATGATTGTTCAACGAGCTGATCGATCCAACACTACTGACTTGTTCAGTTAACTTTTCAGTTAGATGCGACGCAGCTGGAACCAAGCAGTCTCTTTTAACTGCCTGGATATTTATACTGTATGCTCTGGAAACAGATTGTCTCATCGGCTTACCGACCGATTAAATGGCAGACTCAGTAGTCGACCGATCGATCGTTTGCCATGACCGACTGAGCGATAATTTAACTGACTGGATAGCTGAATAACGGAATAACTATATTGAATGATCACCGGTTTGACCTTCAGAACTTACCACATTATGACATCTCTCTGGCTTTCTTCTGTCTGTCTGTTTAAACTCTCTGTCTTACTACGAAAGACTGACTTAAGTAATGTTTACGTTAAACTAAACGATTAACTGACTGAATGACAGACCAACTGACTGACTGACTGACTGACTGACTGACTTACTCACTGACTGACTGACTGACTTATTGACTGACTGATAGACCGACTGACTGACCGACTGATTGATGACTGACTGATTGGCTGACTGGCTAGTGAATAGAGGGGGTAAGTTTCTGCAGAAACTGTGGTGCTGCGTCTATCGCTCTTACGAAGGGCTAACGCACGAACCGTCAGCTTTGAAACTCTTTACGGTGGCCAATTTACATCATCAACTCAGTTGATAAAACCAAATTTATTTTGACTTATTGACTGACTACCTGACTAACTGACTGACTGTATGACTAACTCGTAATTACTGGCTGGCTGTCTTACTGGAAAGCTGGCTGGTTGTGTGGCTGATTGACTAACTGTTTATGTGAACTACTGTCACGGGCAATGACAAGCTGTTTAATTAAAGAAATTTGTATTCCTTACCTGCCTTAAGCGTTCTAACAGTGCCATTTGCGGACTCTCCATAACCTACAATATTTCTTGCTTGTAAGAAAACGATATAAGATCTGTTTTGTTTCAGATTTTGAGAGTTGAAGAACGTTTGTTTGATTCCATGATACTGCTGTATCATTCGGTAGTTTTCCTCAAGTATTGTAATTTTGTAATCAAATATACCACCATCAGTGTCGTCTTGTGGCGCATCCCATGACACATTGACGGACTGCACATCTGAGGTAAATTTGTTTATAACAGGCGGCCCTGGTGAGTCTAAAAAAATATTAAATAGTAAAATTGATTTCATGGCAGATAAAAGTTAACAATCATGTACCTTAGGTGAAGCAGAGCAATTTTCAAATGCCTTCCGAAAGAAATCACTGATTTTGAAGGGTCGTCTCTAGTTTTATTGCACCGCATTTTCTGACTGGGGTCGCCCGCTCTCAGCCAATCAGATCAGCGGCCAAGCTTAAAGCCAGTAACACACACCTACGTTAGATTGCTATTGACGCTTTCATAGTCAGCTTTATCTGTTTCTCATTGATACTTTCATAGTCAGCATTAGATGTAATAATTATTTTGGTTCATAATATTCAGTTGAAAAGCACTATTGAGGAACATGTCCAACAAAACTGACAAGAAATGAGCCCTGCTCTAATTCTTTCTTTTAAGGCCTTA